TCACCCGAGGTCACCATTACAACAGATGCTTCCCTGACGGGATGTGGTGCACACTCCATGGGCCTTTCTGTTGGAGACCAGTGGAACACAGAGATGAGGAAGCGACACATAAACTTCCTAGAACTCCTGGCTATACAAGACGCTGTCACCAGTTTCCTCCCTTTAATCAAGGGAAAATGTGTCACAGTCCTCACAGACAACACCACAGCGCTCTCTTATGTCAACAGACAGGGAGGCACTGTTTCCCTACGACTCTGTACCCTTGCCATTCAGTTGTGGGAGCTTTGCATCGCCAACTACATATTCCTCGTAGCCACTCACATTCCCGGGCACATGAACATGCAGGCAGACCATCTAAGTCGAGCAGGACTCAGCCTTCACGAGTGGTGGATGAACCCAACATACCTCCTCCCACTCTTCCAAAAGTGGGGAGTTCCCCAAGTCGATGTCTTTGCAAACAGAAACAACAAAAAGTGTCCTCTGTTCTGCAGTTGAGGAGGCAAGGACCCACAATCTCTGGGAAAACGGTCTCCTTTACCCTTGGTCCTCAAGACTTCTTTACCTGTTCCCCCCCTTACCTCTGCTTCTGAGAGTGGTCCGCAAAATACTCAAAGACGCCGTGGACTGTATCTTAATAACCCCATGGTGGCTGAGACAACCTTGATTTTCAACAGTCCTCGAGTTATCATAGGGGATATACCATCAGTTCCCTTCGGCTCAGGACCTCCTCCTTCTCTCCGACTCCCCGGTCCTACATCACGACATACCACAATTGAAACTGACGGCTTCTCCTCCCGCGTAGTGAACGTCCTCTTGAATTCCAGGAAGCCTACTAGTAGGTGGAGGTCTTACGATGGTAAATGACGAAGGTTCTGTTCTTCCCTAGGTGATGGCGCTCCTCGAGCCACCTCAGTGGGTCTCGAAAGAGTTTTCCGATTCCTCCTCTCCTTAGCTGACTTGGGACTTTCCCATTCATTGTTAAGAGTTTATTTGGCCGCTCTCTCGGCCTACCATGTTCCAGCTGACGAATGCACTTTGTTTTCTCATCTGATTTTCAAACGATTTTTAAAAGGTTTGTTACACCTCTATCCTCCTGTCAAAACTCCAGTCGCTCCCTGGGACCTTCCTCTAGTTCTACACCAGCTCACGCGGAAGCCCTTTGAGCCGCTTGCTACATGTGACCTCAAACTCCTCACATGGAAAATGGCCTTTTTAATTGCTATCACATCAGCAAGGTAAGTTGGAGAAATATTGGCTTCCGACACGATACACCTTACCTATAATTTCTGCCAGACGGAGTCCGCCTCGTCCCGGACATCTCCTTCCTGCCGAAGGTGGTATCAGAGTTCCACCTGCAGGCGGAGGTCTTCCTCCCTGACTTCTTTCCAAATCCAACATGAGCTCTCCTGTTCTACCTCAATAGAACACACCCGACTAGACGACACTCACAATTGTTCGTCTCTTACGCGTCAGCATGACTGGGCACTCGCATCATGGCCCAGCACCTGTCAAAGTGGATTGTGGGTCTCATCCGTCTGTGTTACCAGATCGCCAAACAGCCATTGCCTGGCCCTATTAGGGCTCATTCTACCAGGGCTTTCGCGACTTCCACTGCCTTCCTCCAGGGAGTGCCACTGACGGACATTTGCAAAACCGCTACGTGGGCCATGCCTAATACCTTCATCAGGCACTACGCCCTAGACGTCCATACGAACACCAATACCAACATGGGATGTCACATTCTGTCTTCGGCTACGCAGTAAACGACCTGCCAGCACCCTCCTCCAGGTAGGCTACTGCTTGCTAATCTCCCATGGGTGTGAAGCACAGAGACCACATCGAAGATAAGCAGGTTGCTTACCAGTAACTGGTGATCTTCGAGTGGTCATCTGTGCATTCACACCACCCGCCCTCCTTCCCCGCTGCTGTCAGCTTCTAGATTTTTATTAGGGGTTGATTTGCGGCAGTTTGTAGGAACTGGCAGGATGTCCACGTCTACCCCTCTGGACATGCGCGATGGGGTTCCTTCGCATGCCTGAGGGACTGGGCGCGAAAATCCATTAAAAGAGCTTGCTACAGCACCGATTGATCCAGCGTGTGTGCACTAGATCCCATGGGTGTGAATGCACAGATGACCACTCGAAGATCACCAGATACTGGTAAGCAACCTGCTTTTACCATTCCTTTTGCTGCGTTGGATAATCTGAGTCACAGTGATCAGAGACCTTGCAGGAATTTGTGTCTCTGTCTCTGTGTGAGAGAATATATATTGTTTCAAAACTGACAGATAATTTTTCTTTTGGGATTCTATTGAATGACTGTTCAATTTTTGCCAGAGTTGATTAATGTCCTGAGCCAGACACCTTGACTTTAATCTTATTCTGATTTAATTTAAAAAGAAGAAATGTGATTAGTGTTCAAAACCCCAGGGAACACTAAGACTTCTTTCTAATCTTCCCAAAGGTTTTTTTTTTTTTTGGGGGGGGGGGTCTGGTTTCAGATTCCATTGTGCTTAATTAAAAAATGCATTTATGAAAACGCTAATGTGTATGATGCTATACAATGCCATGTGCACAGAAGTTTTGAATAAATGTGAAATCACAGGTTTAAGCAAGGTGTAACTGTGGTTGCATACAAAACCCACCATGGGATGTACACCATAGGACACTCCCCTTCATCCTCCTGCTGTAACGTATTGTGCCATCTGAAGAGTCATTCCTGTTGCAGGGGGTGACACCGATATTCATTCTTTGTGTAATTGGAAGAGTCTTCTATTTAATTAAAAGGGCATTTTGGAACAAAGCTTGAGTGTTCATAGTTTTGTATGTAAGAGAAAAAGGTTACAGTTGGTATTCTAATTATTAATGTATTGATTTTCATACATCTCGGTTTTCATTTTGTTTAAAACTAAAAGCTAGAGGTTCACTCTGATACAAACCACAAAATAAAAATCTGTATGAATCCAATAAAATTCAAAGTTAATTGTAGCTAGGTTTGTAGTTTCTGATCCGTTGTTTGGAAATCAGGTATAACTATGATTAACCCCCAGAAACTATGCCGATAGTATCCTTTTGCACATATACTTCCTAATCAAGAAATGAATTTATGTGCATATTACTTTCAGAGGATTAGGATATATGTGTCCCCAGCATCTATATATCTAATAGCAACATGTGTCTCCCATCTGTAGATATTTAAATCCATGGATCAGGGCCATATCAACACTAAACAGATTTTCCTGCAAATGTGCAGAAAAATCTGGAATCTTTTTTTTTTAATTGGGGGGTCAAATCCCCCCAGAATAAAATACCTACCTCCTTCATGGTCATTGGTTCCAGCGAAGCCCAGAAACTATAGTTGGTGGCAGCTGTGGCAGAACCACGCTGGGCCCAGCAAGAAAGTGTGGGGGGGGGAGTGGGATTCCCTTCTGCATGTCTCATGGGCCCACACTTGTACAGCCCTAGTCATAAAAGCTCAATGAACAGTATGTTGATACAGTCACTCTGAAGTGGTACTCCCTTTGTGGATCACAGAGAGCCACATTTGCAGTTACTTTTAACCAAAAGAGCCATGTTTACTTCCATCTCTGGCATGAGGCTTGCACCTCAGGGAGGCTTGCAGGTTAGTTGTTCCTCTGGCAGCAGCTTTTTCAAGGTGTGAACCACTTGTCAGCCTTAAGCACCACTGGGCAAAGTCCTTGCCTACTTTCCTGGAACAGGCACAAATGCTACACAGAGGAACCACACTCAGAAAAGCCACAGGTGTCTCCTGAGCCACTGGGTGTGTATCACTGCTCTAAAGTCTAGTTCACTCATTTCTGTTGGTTGGTTTTTCACTCATGTAAGTAATCTAATCACATGGGCAGCATATTGTGAGAGTCAGGAGCCCTTGGCAACAGCCGTTTTTACAGTCTAGAAGGCAAATGCATGTACTAGCATTTCAAAAGATCACAGTGAAATGTTATCCTCTTTGGTACACAGGACCTAGGTTATCTGAGATGTCTAAAGCCTGGTTATATGCATGAAAATCTGCCCTTCTAAACTGTAAATAATTGGATATGGTGCTATGGAAGCTGCTGATTTTTTTCCTTTAATGTGAGTTTATGCCAGTACAAACGGATTAAAATTATAGATTTATATCCTGCTTTTTGACCAGTAGCTTATGCTATTTTATGAGACAATTTTAATTTTTCTGTACCCCATTCACATTCTTAATAACTTAATCTTCACTGTAGGACACAGTTCTGTTGTAGTTTATCCATCTCCAGCATAACCTATCCCTCCTCCACAATTTTGTAGCTGATTAAAGAAAATGTGTACCATTGTCATCTGATGTGATATGTAATGTTTGTAAAATGTTGTGCAATTTATTTATTCCTGGACACTATTTGAGTAAGGAATAAATAAACCACTATTTGATGTAGTGGTTAAGTGTGCGGACTGTAATCTGGGAGAACCGGGTTTGATTCCCCACTCCTCCACTTGCACCTGCTGATGTGACCTTGGATCAGTTACAAGCTCTAGCACAGCTGTCCTTGAAAAAGAGCAGTTTGTGTCAGAGTTCTCTCAGCCCCACCCACCTCACAGGATGTCTGTTGTGGGGAGGGGAAGGGAAAGGAGTTTGTAAGCCCCTCTGAGACTCCAAGTGAAGGGCGGGGTATAAATCCAATTTCTTCTTCTCTTCTTCTTCTTCTTCTTTTGATATTGGCACCAAGAAGAACTTACTATCATTGACAGCCATGTCTATTTTTATATCCCTTTTTAAATTTAAGAAATATTCTCAGATTAATAACATGAAGCTGTTTGTTAGAAATATCTTTCTGAATTAATGTTGCCGCTTAAGTTACCTTAATGATATTTTGGTAAAAATGATCTGATTTACATAAGAGCATTGCTTTACCAAGTAAGCTAGTAATGCATTATGTTACTACTTTGTGAATTGATCATGATGTTATATTTATAGCCTCTGAAAGTACTAACCCAACACTGTTTACACAACAGGTGCATTGGCTGGTTTGATAGATATTGCAGCAGACTGGATGACTGACCTAAAGGAAGGTATTTGTCTCAGTGCTCTGTGGTTTAACCACGAGCAGTGCTGCTGGACATCAAATGAGACAACATTTGAAGAAAGAGACAAATGCCCACTATGGAAAACATGGGCAGAACTCATAATTGGTCAAGCAGAAGTAAGTATAGTTTTTAAACAAAGCAGTATTGTAGTGACTTGGGAGATTGGTAACCTAATGGTGAAAAAGAGAAATTATTTCATCCATGCAATGAAGTCTCAGGGCTTAACTACATTATCATATTACACTGATTTACTTGGTTTTATGGATTGATCTGCCCATTCACTTGATTTGTGGTTGTGCATAAGAGTGAAATTGTCAGTAATATTATACTTAAAAGATAGCAGCTACAAAGAGAAGACATGGAGAAGTGTAATATAAGAGTGCGGAGCTCTATAACCAGAGCCACTGATTAGAAATTAAATAATGTTTTAGCCATGAGACAGCAAATATTTCTGTGCCGCCTTTCCACCCAAATAGGGTCCCCAAGGCAGCAAATATCAAAACATTTCAATGTTAAAACAGCAAAAATAGTGGTTAGGGTCCCAACAGGCCTATGTGTGCATGCATGCATGCATGCATTGATGTGTGTGTGTCCATTTCCCTTCCAGTGGCAGACCCTTGTGGTTCTGGAGGGTCCCCTCATCTTTGTGGCTTGCTGGGGAGGGAAGGGAAGGGGCAGGTGAGAAATTCCTTTGCACCCCATGGTAGATGGTGCCCTGCATCCCAAGTATTAGTTTGTAAACCTAACATCTACTCTCAGCCAGGGAGAACCTAGGGTTCAACCTCCTTTCTCTTATAAAGTAAGACTGTGCAAGATCCTGACTCTCCCCCACAATCCTTGCAGGTTCTTAACTGCTGCTCTTATGCTTTTTTGGGTAGGGCCTGGCAGACTGGCACAATACTAGTTGTGGTTTTGTACCAGGAGGCAATTACTTGTGCAGTGTTGTAGGTATTCTAGAAGAAGAGTGCTGATCTATGGTCTTGTACAGCAAGTGATCTATTTTGTCACTTATAGAGGGTTTTAAAAAAATAATTACATAGCCAATTCCCTCCCCAGTGCTTCAGTTGTTTGACTTTAAATCTTTTTTTGCTGTGTCTCCTCAAAAGGTGGCCTTGAATGTACAATGACCCTCTAAAATATTCTATATTGGGGGGGGAGGTGTTTGCTTTAATTACTGGACATAACTGTATTACATATGCCAATTTAAGGTTTTTTGGTGGCATACCTGAAAAAGTCTTACTTTTGAGTAAATGTTTCTTAATGTACAGCAGAATATCCACATGGTTGCTATAAAAATTTGCTAACGGCCTCCCTCTACCTCCCTCCCTCTTTCTCTCTCACTTTAGGGCCCAGGCTCCTACATAATGAACTATATCATGTATATTTTCTGGGCCTTGAGTTTTGCTTTCCTAGCAGTTTCTCTCGTGAAAGTGTTTGCTCCTTATGCATGTGGCTCTGGGATTCCAGAGGTAGGATTTGTTACCTTTAACCATATTTAAGAAAATATCATAAGGAGAACTGTTGTAGCATATAAGTTATTGCATGATGCTGTGGTTGCTTTATAAATATTAACATTGGTCCTTTCCACACTAGACCTTAAATCCTGGTTCAGCCCTGTCCCTGAACTTACATTCTACACTGCACTTGAGTTCACCCCTGTAATTATCTCGTGGTATTTTCTGTTTCCACATTACATTGAAGTCACACTTGTCATGGGATAAACGAATGCTATTATAACCAGGGATAAATGCATGGTATTGTGTCGCAAGTCGAACTCTGATAAAACCAGGGATGAGATCCAAGTGCAGAAAGGACATGGAAAATGAAATTGGATGTCAAGTGAGATGAGCCAGGAAATAGTGCATTAGGTTTCCTATTTAAGGCATAAATCTGACTTCAAATAATTTGTAATCAGCTGTGTTAAAACAATGATGTCAGTTCCATGATATACTGTGTGTTATCTATTTATACACTAGAAGATGGGTTTCCCTGCAATTAAAATGTGGGTTTTTTTCCTTTTCTAGATCAAAACCATATTGAGCGGTTTCATAATTAGAGGATACTTGGGCAAGTGGACCTTGATGATAAAAACAATCACTCTAGTCTTGGCTGTAGCCTCAGGTTTGAGTTTAGGAAAAGAAGGCCCTCTTGTACACGTTGCTTGTTGCTGCGGCAATATCTTTTCTTACCTCTTTCCGAAGTATAGTACAAATGAAGCCAAAAAAAGAGAGGTATGTTCTTCTTAAAATTATAAATGATTTGCGCTTACAATAGTGTGATTAAATAGGCAGCAGTATATTCCTATATTTAAAAATATGTTCAGATGAATACATTCTATTCATGTGTTTTAGAAGAACGGTAAAAAAATAATTGCTGTCTTTATAGAGCAAGGCAGGATTTTTTTCCCCCAGCAAGTACTATTAAAGGGAATTCAGAAGTGAGGCGCACGATTTCCCAAGTAGTTACATTAGGGCATATGTGGTATTCTGTTTCATATCATACAGTGTAGAAAAACATCTTTTCTTCTCCTCCCATTTGGTGAGATAATAGGGCTTGTTCCCCCTCTCCTTTTCCCTGAGGTTTCTTGTACACTCCCCGCCCACCCCTCACCAGTCAGTGCTGCTTTTTGCCTGTTTCTGCTGGAAGGGGTAGAAAATGACCAGGGCAGAGTAGCAGCATTGCGAGAGAGAGAGAGGGGTTTTTAATGGCTTCTTTTTATATTTGTTTTAAGCGGTGGCATATAAATATCCTAAATAATCTAAGACATTATACCTTTTGAAATATAGAGTTAACTGCAGGATTTTTTTATTTTTATTTTTAAACGTGGTCCAGTTGTGACTGTTCTGCTTTGCTGCCCTGGGAAAAAGCAGCTGTCCCCCACACAGTCTCCTAATCTTAGCAAGAAAGTTTCTTTAGCCATGAAGGAAGTTTGCTGGTTATTCAGCTTTGCTGCATTTTTGTAGATTCCAGTCTTTGCAGTATGTTTTTGAACAGAAAATGCTGTTCTTATGTATGACCTGCCTGAAAAAAGTTTAAGCAACGTTGTCCTTTCAACAGGTATTATCAGCTGCATCGGCAGCAGGAGTATCAGTAGCGTTTGGAGCCCCCATTGGTGGAGTTCTTTTCAGCCTAGAGGAGGTATCTATAATCAGTGCTTAAAACACACATATTGTTTCATTATTATTGTCCTCGTGCATGGCCTGCGTGGTCTTGAGTCTTTCATATACCATACAGATTTAAGCATTGCATGGTTTCATTCCATGTGTACTAACCCCATGATTATTTGGTAGTAAATGATTAGTACAGTTTCACCTTTGCAAATAAGTGAACCAAAGCTACCACCCCACATACCTGTGTTATTTTTGGCACACTGCAAGCACTCATCTGCCAATTCTGTAAAAGTTCATGTCTAATCACCTAGAGGCAAATCTTATCTAGTCCTGGTATAGTACGTAAATTGTTAGAAGCTTCTTACTGTGCAATTAATGCCTCCATTTTTCCTGTTACTGGTGAAGCGCAATATTTTTAGTGGTATTTGGTTTGCAGTTGATTGGGCAGTTTGCAGTTGATTGCTGGAAGAAATACATGGGTTGAGGAGGTCTAGCCTGAGTCTGGCACATCATGCTTCTGATTCATTCCATATTTAGTGTGACTCCACAAAGTTTTTCTCCAGTGGAATGATAAATGTTGGTTGAGTGGTGACCAGCTTATGAACTCAGCAAGTCATGAAACTATCACAGAGCTCAATTCGCTATGATTGTGGGAACTGGCCAAGTAACAGGATCCATGTACTGTACAGCCATTACCTTGTTTGTTAAAGAGTTGCTGTATTTTCAAGTATCTTAACATAAATAGTCTTGTATTTAATTCATAGAGTGGTGTCTGTTTCATTATCTCCTTGAGAATTTCTACTTGGGATACTGTAGCCAACTGTCTTAAAAATATTAACCAGCTTTAGTTAATTGCTGTTGAGCAGTGTCCTTATCTCATATATAAGCATTGCAGAATGCAAGCAAATAGTGAAATAGACCTCTTTTGTCTCTTGCAGGTCAGTTATTATTTTCCCCTGAAAACCTTATGGAGATCATTCTTTGCTGCTTTGGTTGCTGCATTTGTTTTGAGGTCCATCAATCCTTTTGGTAACAGCCGCCTAGTCCTTTTTTACGTTGAATACCATACTCCATGGTATCTTTTTGAACTGTTACCCTTCATTCTTCTGGGAGTGTTTGGTGGATTGTGGGGAGCATTTTTCATCCGTGCAAACATTGCTTGGTGTCGCCGCCGCAAGTCAACAAAATTTGGAAAGTACCCAGTACTAGAAGTCATTATTGTAGCAGCAATAACTGCTGTCATTGCTTTCCCAAACCCCTACACCAGAGTCAACACCAGTGAGCTTATTAAAGAACTCTTTACAGACTGTGGGCCCTTGGAATCTTCCTCCCTTTGTGATTACAGAAATGATATGAATGTCAGTAAAATAGTTGATGATATTCCTGACCGTCCAGCAGGCACTGGAGTGTATTCAGCTATATGGCAGCTGTGTTTAGCCCTTATATTTAAGATTATAATGACAGTCTTCACCTTTGGAATCAAGGTAAGATACAACAAATTATGACTCTTTGGTCATTGCTCTTCTCCTTCCCACTCTACTCCTCCTATTCAAGTACAACATATTGTGTACAGCAGTCAAAAGAATATTCATCAGATTTAATTTTGGACAGAAGTCAAATGGTTGCTTGTTGGGTATTTAGTCAGGAATATGTACACTGTGAATTCCCCATTTTTTTTAATTAGAGACTCCACAGTAGGCAAGTGAAAACTGCTGTGACCTCCTCCATAATAAATCATGAGGGGATTAGAAGGTCAGTCTTCAGAAGATAAGATCTTTACTGCTTTGAAATTTTGCACTTTGGCCAGAGTTGGTGTAGGAATTCAAATGAGACAGGCATATTTCCACTTGGCAATCGTAAAATGCTTAGTAAGACATCTCTTAAAGCAGCATGTTCCAAATCACAGGAATTAGTGGGAAGGTGAGTGGATGAATATGGCTGAATGTCTAAAGACAAATGATGTTATAGGGAGCAGAAACTGGTTTGGGTCTTGACAAATTGCTTCATCTTGCACAAGTCTGGTTTTGCTGGAGGAATTCTGCTTAAGGACGTAAATGAATATTTAGCATACATTTGATGTAATGTCAGTTCAGCTATGGACTTTACAGAACTTTTCAAATGCATGATTTATTTTTGTTGAAAAAAAACAAGTGTTTCCAGCTGCAGCAGTCTGTGTAGCACACCCTGCCTTAGTAGGCTGGCTTGCTCTGCTGCACATCAGCAGCAAGAAGACTCTGAGTAGGTGGAACTGTCACATAGGGTAGTATTGACTGACTGTCACCAGGAATTGGTGCGAGAGGAAATCCATGCAATGCTAGTGTAACTATGCTTCTTCAGTAGCTTGTGCTGATGAGGAGCAATGATATTGCTGGTTTCTGCAAGCAGGTGAAGGTATAGTTGCAGTGGCGCTGTACCTGTTGCAGGCATATTGGCCCATTCTCCCCCTAGCCACCACCCAGAAATGGCAGTGGAGATTAACTTTCTGTGTTGCATCTGGCATTCTCGTGTGCAAGCTGGTGCTGTTTTTTGAACATTCTAGTGCCTTGGTTAACTACAGTGCTGGGGGGAAAAGCCTCTCATGCTTTTTTAGCTACTTCCCCATAAGAAGAATAGGAAAAAAAGATAGTAGGATGCAAAGCTTGTGTGGGCTTGCGGCTTTGCAAGTTTTCATGCTGTCATGCGATTGATAGACATTGCTTAAGTTAATGCTTGTGAAGCATTCCTTCAGTGAGGCTACAATTTCCTTTGGCTTTCTTTTTTCTTGTTAGGTTCCCTCAGGCTTATTCATACCTAGTATGGCCATTGGAGCAATAGCTGGAAGAATTGTGGGAATTGCTGTGGAGCAGCTTGCTTATTATCACCATGACTGGTTTATCTTCAAGGAGTGGTGTGAAGTTGGAGCAGACTGTATAACACCAGGCCTCTATGCTATGGTTGGTGCTGCTGCATGCTTAGGTAACTAAATTATAACACAGCAACAAAAAGAAATTCTTTGGTTGCTAAGAAACCTTCTTAGGTTGCTTAAGTAAGTGAGTTTAAGTGAAAAAGAAGAAACTACATGAATGGATGTGACCAGCATTAGAAGAACTAGTCATTTTTGAATGTAGCCATCTTCTGTGTGTGCATTTGTTTCACATCATTCCCCATATATGCACAAAAGTCAGAAATAACTTCTGGTGTTGCATGGTAGAACTTTAAAAAATTAAAGCTGAATCTGAAATGAGTTAAGAATTGAAAATAAGGAAACTAACACTTCAGGATATGTAACCACAAACTTGCATACTGTTTTTGATACTTTCTAGTACTGTCTTTGGCAAACAATGTAAATACAGATTTAGCTATCCCCGGCATTGGCTTTCATCATGTTGAAGATGGGTACACTGCTGCTTCTCAGGTCAATTCTGAGGTCCTTCTCTTAGCATTCCAAAGATACAAGAAAACCCTTTTTCGTTCCTAATCCTGTTGGCAAATTCATGTGCCTCACAAATCTAAAGCAGTGACACAAACTGACTAATGGTGGAAATGCTGTGATGCTTCTGGTTGATCAGTTGTTGAGTGTGTAAACAGTGAGATAGAATTTAACTAATCAGTTGACATTTTGAAGGTAGTGTTACAGAAACCAGCACCCAAATGTCTTGGGGAAAGCAGGTTAATGCAGAGCCAGTTGAAGATCATCCTCGCAAGGTCAGACCTTTTTAGGAGGATGTGAGTAGTTATGCAACATATAGGTGAAAAGACTCTTCTGAGTTCTAAGAGAGAAAGAAGGACCATGTTGAACTTAGGTACATGCATCCCCTTCAAAATGTTTGAGTTTTACCAGCATAAACACTATTTTCTCTAGATTCAGTTTCAGCTTATTTACCTTTGACTACAGCATCCAGTCACCTATTCAGAGATAGGTGCTCCCAGCTGCTTTGTTTAAAGATAGAACTGAGTGTCGTTAGCTTATTGATGATGACCAACTTCATAGCTATGGATGATCTCACTCAGCAGCTTTTTATAGAAAGAGAGAAGCAGACCCCATCGCACACATGCTCCAGATTCAGCTCAGATTGGACACTTTTACTTTTCCCATTGGCCATGCTATCAGCTGATGAGGTCATTTGTTGGTTGGTTGGTTGAGGTTTTTTTAAATTTTCTCTTTCTGTATTATTTTATGTTTTGATTTTAGTATTTTAAAATTCTGCTGTTCATCATATGTATCCAGCAAATTAAACAATAATATTACCATTACTTTTTTATTTAAATTAAACAATGAACATATTCATGAACATGAAAATCTGAACAATTTGCATCAGCACAAACATAGGTTATCTACGAACTTAACATTGGTACAATGAATGCTTTGAACTTAAGGAATACTGCTATACCCCATGTAGGGAAGAACTATACAGATTTTAAGTCATCACTCTCAAAAACAAAGCCAGTTTGTGGATTGGGAATTATTATGTGGTTGGCACCTGGCAGTATCTCAGTGGTCAGGGACCACCACATTTATATATTATCTCACAAGAGCATATTGATGAGTAGGTTTTTTCTCTTTCCTTTCAGGTGGTGTAACAAGGATGACTGTCTCTTTAGTGGTTATTGTATTTGAGTTAACAGGTGGCTTGGAATACATTGTGCCTCTCATGGCTGCAGTAATGACAAGCAAGTGGGTAGGAGATGCATTTGGCAGGGAAGGTATTTATGAAGCGCACATTCGTCTAAATGGTTATCCTTTCCTGGATGCAAAAGAAGAATTCACCCATACAACGCTGGCTGCTGATGTTATGAGGCCTCGAAGAAATGACCCACCCTTAGCTGTGTTAACCCAAGATAACATGACAGTGGACGATATAGAAAATTTGATCAATGAAACCAGCTATAATGGTTTCCCAGTTATAATGTCAAAAGAGTCCCAGAGACTAGTGGGTTTTGCTCTAAGGAGAGATTTGACTATTGCAATAGGTAATTGTTTTTCTGTCTTCTGAATTTGTATTATTCCCTTCAGAGTAGTTAATGTTGAAGAAACCATAGCAGATATGGGTTGGATGATGGTATCTGGGTAGCAGAAGTTACCTCACTCTGCCACATGAGTCCTTTGTCTTAATGACATTTTGAAAGACAAATGAAATTGTGCCACTGTAGCTTCGTTCTTGTGAGCACTGAAATAGAGTATATTGGATATGCCCACCTCATTTTAAAGCAGAATACATTGGATGAGTTTCTGAAAAACGTAGCTTAATTCTTATATGCTGCATTGATCTCTGAAACAGGGAAAAATGCTAAGAAAAAATAATCATAGTTGCTACATTCAGATGGTATCTTAGGCATCTTTCAAGGAAATCATGAAGTTCTAGAAGTGATGGTAATTTGTGGCATTGGAGTTTTATAGGAAATCAAGTTATTCCTTGAATTAATTTTCATGTATCTGGACAATTGTACTATAATGACTAATTCTATCCTTTTACCCTTTTTCTTGGAATGCCACAATGCAGGTGGCACTTCTAAATTTGATAATTTGGTAGTTTGCACGATCTTATCCATATTTAAAATCTTAGGAATATTACATAACACAAATGTGACATGAGTCTTGAAGTATAGTTGTTCGGAGATCTAGTAGCTTCTTGTATCTTTTTTGAAAGTATGCTGCATGATTTTAACGTGTGAATTCAACTTCCTTCCCTTATTTTTCTTTTCCTTTCTTGGCAAAAGAAAGCGCCAGAAAGAAACAAGAAGGCATTGTTGGCAGTTCCCGAGTCTGTTTTGCCCAACATACCCCATCACTTCCAGCAGAAAGCCCTCGACCATTGAAGCTTAGAAGCATTCTTGATATGAGCCCTTTTACTGTAACGGATCACACTCCAATGGAGATAGTGGTGGATATTTTCCGCAAGCTGGGCTTGAGGCAGTGCCTTGTAACACACAATGGGTGAGTCCAGTAATGGGAAATGCTGTTCATACCACAAAGCCTTGAGAGTGCTTATTTTTCCACCTCTTTCCAATTACTCTGACAGAACTTTGGCACCCAAACATAGTTTAAAAGCATTAAGCATGGTCTAATTGGGTGATCAGGAATCCACATTTTTTTATTTTCCAGATGAATGCTTCCTTTTGTGTATTACTGTCACCATTTCCCCTATCTTGCTGTCACACAACCCCATATAAGCCCTGGGAATCATCAGGTTAGTTCAGCTTTGTAACAGAAGAAAATATCCTTGTACTCAGTGGTTTCCCTCATAAAGAAAAGGGCAGATGTGCTAAACGTCGTTAAGAGGCATTAAACATTGAGAACATGCCTTCAAATTACTCCAGTGTTGGCGGGGGGGACATCATATGAGATGGGCTAATATGTGCAACTGCCTCCAGTTGAGGCCATGGTGCCACTGAACTGCTCCCAGTTTTTCAATAAGTATTTTTCTTAGACACAGCAGTCCATCCTAATTGATGTCTTAGAGATAAGAGTGGTTTGCAAGAAATCTCATGAGACAATAGGTTTTATAAGACTTTGTGTCATATAATTTGTACAATATAATCTGTGTGATTATATTGCTCTTACTGCAAGTGCAAATGACCATCTTATGATTTTCTTCCTCCTTTGAAGACGTTTAATTACTTAGGCATCCTTCCTTTTAAAAAAACCCTGAAGAGTGGGAAGGAACTGCACATTAAAAGGAACATAAGAACATAAGAGATGCCAATGTTGGATCAGGCCAAAGGCCCATCCAGTCCAACACTCTGTATCACACAGTGGCCAGAAATACCAGTGCCATCAGGAGGTCCACTAGTGGGGCCAGGACATTAGAACATGGAGCTGCTTCTAAAAATGGAGATCCTATAACACAAGAAAATCCCTGTTGGATCATATTAGTGGTCCATCTAGTCTAGCATCCTCTTTCACACAGTGGCCTTCCACTTGTCATGGAGGTCCAACTTAATTAATTATCGTATGGCAGTGGGTATAGTATAGCCAGGAGATTAAAGATTGTCTGGCAGCCTGAAACTCTGGCTCTTTTTGTGGTGAGCTAGATTTATTTTTTGGGCTGAGAGCCCAAGGTCACCCAGCTGGCTTCAAGTGGAGGAGCGGGGAATCAAACCCAGTTCTCCAGATTAGAGTCCACGGCTCTTAACCACTACACCAAACTAGCTCTCACAGGTCCAACAAACACAGCATAGAAATCAAGACCAGTGTTCCCTCTAAGCTGAGTGAGTGTGAGCTAGCTCACAGGTTTTTAGACGCCAACTCACACATTTTTGTCTTCGCTCAGGAAGGATGGCCCCAGAGCAAGCTAATTTATGCAGCAGCCAAATAGTTTGCTCACAACTTTAATGCCAGTAGCTCACAAAGTAGAATTTTTCTCACAAGCTTAGAGGGAGCATTGGTCAAGACCTTTCCCAGTGTTGCATCCAAACACTGGTATTCCAAGGTTTGCTGCTTCTGAATGTAGGTTACCTTTGGGCACCATGGTTAGTAGCCACTGATGGACCTATCCTCCAAGAGTCTGTCTAATCCCCTTTTAAAGCAGTCTGTTAGTGGCCATCACTACATTCACTGGCAGTAAATTCCACAATTTAATTACTTTTTGATTAAAGAAGTACTTCCTTTTGTCTATCCTGTATCAACTGCTGATCATCTTCATTGAATACCTCTCAGTTCTGATATACAGCAGAGGAAGAAAATGGTCTCTCAATTCACCTTCTGCACCCTATGCATAATGTTATAAATATTGTGCCCCCCCTTTTTTCTAGAATGAAAAGCCCCAGACTCTGTAGTCTTTTCCCACCCTTGATTTTCTCTTCTGCACTTTTCCCAGTTCTGCAGTGTGTGTATATGTATAATTCATATGTATGTGTGTGTATGTGTATATAAATGTATAATTTGTGATAGTGACCAGAACTATACAAAGTATTCCAAATGACCATAGAGCTATAAAGGGATTTTACAATATTGGCTATTTTATTTTCCATCCCTTTCCTAATAATCCCCAATATGGAGGGGATTTTTTTTACTGCTGCCATACACTGTCATAGAGTACACTGTCCTCTGATGTCATTATCCTGTACCTCTCTCTGATCATAAGGAGATCTGTCCACATCTGTCCAAGTGTTGCTGTTGGCGTCGGAAACACACTCTGTAATGATGTCAGGACTTTGCAAAGGTTGTACTAGACACCATGGATAGGAAGTAGGATTGCTAGACCCTCGCCGGGGGTGAGGGTGCTTCCTCGCTGCCGGCCAGCTGGCTGGCGGGGAAATCCCACTCCCAATTGGCCCGGAAGGTATGCAAAACTCTATGGTAAAATCAGGCTACAAAACATGGAGTTTTGCCCAAAAACCAGAGAGCCCCCCCCCCCAACATTGGCGACATGGTGACATCAGTTCCGGGTGATGTCATCACTTCATGTGTGCAGCAGAAGATCCCGGAGAGGACGAGGGATTCCCCTGGCAGCTGCCAGGTAGGACCTGGCAACCCTAATAGGAAGCTCAAGATTGGGAGCATTCCTAAATTCCTTGTAACATGCAGTTCCACTTACAGTGCCCGTGTTCAACATAGTTTTCCTGTCTATACATAATGCTATTGTAGATCTTCTCCTCCTCTTCTTTCACTGAAATTTATAACTTAGAGGTATGAGCCTTCCCAGTGTGTTCTTTGGAGCCACTGTGCCCCAATTCAGTTTATTATTACTATTTAATTGAGATTGCATATTAGACTTTAGGCAATTGATATTGCTGTTTTGCAGTATGTTACTTGTATTTACGTTTTTAAAAAGTGTTTAAGGAATAAGTACTCATACCTTCCACCGAAAGGAAATGTTAAACTGTTATGTGTATATGGCACTTTTAAAAGTTATCTCTCTATTGTTGTGTGCACTATACTTTATTTTAATGATTGACTCATTTTAAATAAAAAGTTGTGCTTCCAAATATATATTGTTAAAAATATCCTTGAGGATATTATCCTAGGAAATTACTTTTTTCTCCTTTAGGATGACGGGGTTGGGGTCTTTCTGTTAAATCCATTGGGTTTGGGACTATCATTTAAAGCCATTGATAATATGTGAAACAAATTGTGCAAAAATCTATAGTGTGCTAAAATGCATCGTTACCCTGTACTACATTTTTAAAGGTTCTAATTTTCCAAAATAATCAGTATTAACTATGAAGAAAAATATCATAGTACTTAAGTGAAGTTTTTAGAAAAAATGTTGCCTGCTTTGTCAGCCTGCAGCTTTGTAATGAGTCTCTCTTTTCTTGCTTCAAATTGTTAACTTATTTTGAATTCGATCATTTTAACAGTTGTTGGGTTCGATTCCCCTTCTCACTTTTGGGGGCAAACCCCCAAACAATGATGCATGTTTGCATATCCCCACCACTAAACCAATAGGATTTTATAGAGACTGGCAGTTGGGTTCTGCTTCCTAGTATATATAGGAAAAAGCAGTGAACAACTGAGGCAATAAATTTTTTAGTATAAATGTGTAGATGTTTAAAAGCACTAGTCAACAAAATGTCTGTTATAAAAAGACCTATAGATGTTATAAGTCACAATGAGTAAAGCTACAATCTTTGTCTCTAAAATGGTTTCTAAATTGGAAAAGACTCTAGTCCTTGATTTTGCACTTTCTTCATTGCCAAAGATGAAGAATATGACTAGAGAATTTTACAAAAAACTTTATTGCTTACAACTGTGGAACTGCTGTATAAATATGGGCTTTCATATCTGGTACAGACTGGCCCATTTGAAAATCTCTATTTTCAAGTTTAAAATTAAGTAATGTTGGTGAAATGTAGGACTTCAGAAAGAAGTTAAACAGGCTCTCCAGAAGTCAAGAGATGGGACTCTGGCATCCTATGCAACTTCTAATCCATCCACCTTTTCTACTGTCCCATAGCTCTATTCCAACAGGATTTTGATTCCCCATTCTCCCCACATCCGTCACTATTTCCATTACCCCGTGTTTTTTTTTGGGGGGGAAGGGAGAAATGCAAATAACATGCAAATTTTGATTCAGCCAAATTATTCTAGATGCAGAACTTGTTTTTTTACTAGCATAGTTAAGGGGGGAAATGGTACAGACATCACATGGCCTTGCTTTACCATCTTCTCGTACAACAGGAATGCAGCAAGAGGGGGGCCAAAATTGTTAGTTCCTGATATTTATAAAAAGCTGTGTTCACATCAGATTGATTGTAATAATGGTAAACAACTAGCTCTGTTATTTGACTTGTGTCTATATTATTCTGAGTTTAATACGTGTTTTGCACTAGCTGCTACAAGATAGGTTTTTAGATCCCAGAGAAAGAGGGTACTGATTTTCAAATCACTTTTTCAGTTAATCTTTTCATTATTAGCATTTCTGCAGTCCATGTTTTCATTTTACTTTTTCTAAACTTCTCTCATTGTGATTGGATCTTTTTTGTTTGATTTCACACACAGTTATTAGCATAACATGATCTGTTTCAGGATTGTCTTGGGGATCATCACAAAGAAGAACATTTTAGAGCATCTCGAGCAACTAAAGCAGCACGTCGAACCCTTGGTGATTAGATATATCAGATCTCCTCATTAGACACGTTAGACATCAGGAAGCATGAAACTTGTGAATTGTTCAGTGTTCTCTTGCAACAGCTGAACAACAAATCTTCATCTACAAGTACAGAGGCTTTTCATTTAGACGTCAGTGTAAATTTGAAACATGAATAAAAGCCACTTGCAGAAAATATGCTAAATGAAGCGACAGAGCTGAAAATATACTGTTAATTAAAAGACAGTGTTGTGAGAACAAGTGGGTTAGGAAGACTTAGAAGTACTGCTGTTCCCAAAGGTGTCATGCACATCATTTTTTTCCTTTCTGATATGTTTTGTGTGAAGTAAGCACATTGCAAAACTAGTGGGTTTTACATTTTTGACTTTTAACAATAGCTGCCAATCAAGCTGCAAACTTCATTTTAGTTTTGACATCTGTACTAGGACATTCATCTTGAAGCATTAGATTTTTGCATATCCTTTTCCCATGTATTTGGAAAGTCACTTTTCTAGAGTGACTGTTAGAAAGCTATTTATGTTCTAATTAAGAGTACCAATAATTATACCAATTTGTCAGTTGTCTGTTTTTCTGTATTATGTGCCATTTAGATAGTAGTTGTTGCTCTGCAGCAATTGCTGTTGAAGTTGACCTTCCAAGCTTAGCTGCTTCACAATTGTTTCATGCATCCTCTTTAAATAAATAAATTACAGGAAAACTGCTAACCAGAATAACAAGGTCAGCAGCTCATTCTTTGTTGTCTGCTTCTCTTGTGATAATATCCTTTTAGGGCACCTTCAATCCTTGATATTTCTATAGAACCAGTGTAGTCTTATTAGCAAATAATACCTTGATCATAAGAGCACTGTTTCAAATTTTGGGGGGGAAAGTATAAATACATGTTTTTTCTTCCCTCTCCCCCTGAATATTCAAACTTAAATTACATTAACCTGTGATCATCTATTCCAATGCATCTGTATGTGCTCTTATGAAGACACCCAAACCAATAGGTTATTTGGGGCAGAGCCTCAAAATTGAATTATCAAGCAATTTTGAGGTTAGCTAGATTGAACAATACTTTCTTCTGATAGTGGGATCAATATCACTTATTCACACCTTACCTCCCCCCCCCCGCTTTGTCCTCCTTTGTCACTTTTTTGTTGGCATATGATGATCAGCAGCAAAAAAATTAACTATGAGTACCAGCTCAGTATTTATTTACTTGGATTATTAAGAAATTTGGTAATAGTTTAGTGACCATCGTGTTTAGTAGCATGATATTGCTGTCGTTTTTAACAAAATGATGGTTATTTGATAACAATAAAATGCATTGCTTCAAATAAGAAAATCAGGTTTTAATGCACTCTATTCCTGTCAACAAAAATGATTTGGCTACAGATTTAGTCTGTTTCCTTTTGCCCTTCTATTTAATTAGCCATCTTCTGTGTGTCTCTTTTCCAGGCGCCTCCTTGGCATCATAACAAAAAAAGATATCCTCCGTCATATGGCCCAGACGGCAAACCAAGACCCCGCATCAATAATGTTCAACTGAATTCAGTTACCGAGGAGAGAGAGGAAAGTGAAGAGGAGGTTCATTTGTTGAATAGCACAACACTGTAGCAAATGGCATTGTTCTGTGATACAGAAAGAAAGCTGGATTTTTGGAAATGCACACCGCTAGGATTTACAAGTTGGTTTAAGAAAGTCCAGATAGAAAGAAAAAGGAAATTTCTCACAGTAACAAAGGGGATGAGAGTGGATTTCTGCAGTCCTGCACTGGATGCGTTCTGAACCACTAGATCTGCCATGATAGTGCAGTGGGAAGATGGAAGGCTCCAATGTACCCTTCTACTTTGGTATCAAAGACATTGTTAGTCCCCATTTCTGGAGGGATCACTTTGAATTGAGCCATCTTTTGAAGACTGCAAGAATTTGCCCTTTTTACCACAGACTGTTGTGTTAACTCATGAAATGCATTGTTATTCCACACCATCTCTTTACATTCCAGAAGAGCTTTCATTTCTCTGTCTCTCTCCTGAGCCGTAACAAAGCCTCTTTAGAATTGGTGTGCCCTTTTGATGATAGTTTCTCATATTGAGATGTACTGTGACCTGCTGAGTTTGATCACAAGAAGGAACTATTTCTTGTGCCATTTAACCTAGTGTTTGTATATCATGAAATCCATGGGGCAGTTTAGATCTACTGCAACAGAAAGAGATTGAACAGGTAATAGCTTGTATGAAGCATGTCCGAAATCCTGCAGTTTAGGAGCTGCAACTTAAAAGGCCAAAAACCTATCTCAAGAGGAGTGCTTCTTCTGCAAGATGATAATGTGACCTGGGCTTATGCAATTTTTTTGTATTATTAAAAACACTAAGGTATGTACCATTGTTGTGCAGTGTAAGGAAAATGCTGCTATTCTACTAAGAACTGGAACAACTCCATATAAATGTGTATCTGATAACTGCATGCTTAAACACCAATGATTACCCCTCCCAATAAATTAAGACTGATCATTTTCTGTTTCCCATTCCAACAAGTGTTCCATTGCTGACACTGAAAAAAATAAATGTAATAACTTGCACTGGATGTACATTGATTTTACCATTTTATTTATATGTTTATGGATTAAAAATGTACTAAATACAAAGTAGTTAATTGTCACACAGTTAATTTTACCTTATAATGTGATTTTTGTACAACAATTCAGAACCTTCTGCAGGATTGGGCAAAAGTTTTCCAGCAGAAGGAAAATTTAATATTTCTTTGTAATTCAGTCTAACTTTCTATTGCTGTAACCTTAATATTTGTTTCTAATCAAAGAACTGGAATACATCTATAAACACTGCAGGATTGAAAACATTTTATTATGTAACTCTTATAGCTTGATTTTTCTTTACAGGAGCTTTCAAATGTAGCAATAAGTCAGTTGTAGCTGATCTCAAAGACTGAATTGAAAAAGTTTGTGTGGGATTTAAAGTCAAGGTATAAATTCAAATACTTGAAAAATTTGGAACATGCTTCCTGGATCCATTATGTATTTCTGAATTTTGAATACTTATTCAGTTAGAGCCAAATGTCAGCCCTGAGATGTTTCATCTGTGGCGTCAACCATATTAAGACTGGAAGTTGGAGAGACGGTTTTATAGATCTGAATGATAGATGTCTTGTAATGGTTAGCTATCTCATCTCTTAACAGTTGGGAGCATTTCTGTTGGCTATATACCAACAATAAACATTATATACTTATTTGGGGGACTAGATGGTAAACTCTGCATGCATAGTGAGGATTGAGTAGGTTTTCCCAAGCACTGGCTCCCAGTTAATGAGACTCTTCTTGAAACTCAGGAGTTTTCAAAACTCTGCAAGACAGCCCAGGAAACCTGTTTGAGAAAGCAGGAGCCAGATGCTGTGATGTGGGTACACAACATTCAGTGATCTCTTAGGATTGTGACTGGAGCAAATTAAAAACCTGTTTCTTTATTGCAAAACACTCTGGCACTGTCATGTCAAAAAGTTTTAAGAAAACACATGCCAGAAGACCTCTTAGTGAAGTCAGCAGGAGTACATAACCATATTTTAATAATTAGAAGCAAGTGCTTGTTTAACTGTGGCCTAAATACTGGTTTGATTTTTAAAGTGACAATTGTTTAGGCCCTAGCTGTTCAAGACTCTTTGATGGGTTTTTCTGCACTGCCTAATGGCTCAATTTGCTTAGACTCCTGTTTAGTTTCACTTCAAACTCAAAACAGCAATTGAATTGTTGCTAAAAATGCTTTTGGCAACAACTCATCCTATTCATTTGTTTCCACTAAAGTATGTAGGAATCATTTTTTGTTGCTTAGGTGGAAATCTGGAATACTCTTCATTTTGGGACCTTTTGGTACTTGTCTAAATCAGTGTTATCTTTGTAGAATTTGGCCTATGTGTAGAAACTCCTCATGGGACTTGAGGTGTTTCTATTTATTGTCTACTAATAACTGAAGTATCATTTACTAATCATGTGGTTTTTAAACCAGATTTTCTCTGAGTAACGTCCTAATTTTTAAAGCCAGCTGTTCAGTTTGAAGCTCCCCACCAGTTAGACTATTTTAGTCTCCAATGGTAAAACAGGAATCACATGAAGTCACATTGCCCTCAAGCTGCCCACTGTAGTACAAAGTGAATTTAAATGTTAGGTCTTCACATTTAATATTTCATATAGATTTTTCTTTACCAGCACGTAAAATACATGTCGGCTAGTCATGATACATTAGATTCAGGAACTGAAATAAGTGTGCCTGTGCTGTATAACAAAAAGATTCACTAATGATAATGTAATACTTTGCAGCGCCTTACTCAAGAGTTGAACAGGATATGGGGGGAGGGCAGGGACAGTGTCAGCATTTTTTGTTGTTCATAAAGACTGCATAATCTATTAAATCTGTGATATTTCCTAGAGTTGTATTAAACATTGATCTTAATGTTTTTATTTATACTCGTGTGGTAGAGTTGCATATCATTACAGTAAAATAAAATCCTATTACTGTAATGAGTTCATCATAAAACATTAAAAAATTGTGTATAATGCTTTTGGTTTGACTCTTTATTGCTGTAATCATACCTTGGATATGGGAAACATCTGGAGAAAGGCAGGAGACACCGTTAAAAAAAATAATCCACACTTTCTTGTATTTGATTTACTGAATTAAATAGGAAAATGGAAGATTTGTATTCACTTACCATGAAACTTCCTTCTCGATGGTCCAGAGTAGGGCAGTCCTTGACTCCTTACTTCTGGAAAGCACCTCCCCCTTCCGTAGGCAGGGCCTGCAAACTTTGATCCCAGAGGGGAGGGGTTATCCTCTGATCCCCAGTCATACCGAAAGCCACCTCCAAGCTGCTGTAAATTCACTTTAAAAATAACTCCTTCCCCCTCAGACAACTGGGGAATACCATCACAGCCATAGGCTTAAACAAATACAAACCTGTATTTCAACCATTAGAGCAAACAAACAGCCACGTCACATAATCAGTTAGACCATATTCATGAACAGCTGAACCACTGCA